AGTGTTGTGTTGGAGAAGGAGACGCAGGATATTGTGAAGAGAATATTGGAGAAGCAAAATGAGGCGGGGGAGGGGGGGACGGTGAGGTTGCCGAAGGTGAATGGGGGGGATGATGGGGGCGAGGAGTTGGTGTTGGAGTTGCCCGGGAGGAAGCTGGGGTTGGCGCAGTTGCAGAGGTATAGGAGGGCGTTTGTGGGGTTGAATAGGGGTGGGATTGGACTGGAGGAGGTCGGGAAGTTGGCGGCGGGGAGGTTGAGGGAGAGTTTTGTGGGGTATCTGAATGATGCTTTTGAGAAGGATGGGTGAGGTGAGACGCGAGGTCATGGTGGTGTGTCGAGTTGACCTGCGTGGCCGACAGTGTGTGTTTCGCTTGTTCAATCCGAAAATAAACGATCAAACAACCAGTTCGGTATTGCAGCCGCGCGCACAGCAATCGATCAAGACGAAGGGCTGTGATGGGACCTGGAGACCTGCTTTGTCCACAGTACAAGTTTCTTTCACCGAGCTTTCTGAAGGCTTTTGGCCCCCCCCATATTCAGCCTTTGACCACAGTATGAGCATTATCCAGATTTGCTGTCCCGACAGTCTGGTACTAGCCGCCGTCGACACGCATCAAACATTGGATGGTGCCATGGAGGTGGGACTAGTACCCATCTGGGCGGTTGTTGGTTTTACTTCCCGGGCTCTGATTGGCTGGATCCATTCACGACATCTCCATTTATTGTGTAACCTCTCCTGTTATCATGTCTCAACATGGCCGATGGGCAAGCGCGGTCATATTCAATGAGATTATTTTTGGGGTTGAGTCCACAGTCAGGTGGTGGGCCACAAGCAGGGAGGTCGATGTAGTGGCGATCAGGCTGGGGGTTGGGTAGAGTCGGCCACCACTCGCTTGAGGAGCTGTCCAAGTAAGCAAGGAGACGAAAAGTATACAAACCACGTTGTTTGCCGCGCTATGGAGTCATCATCATCATCAGCACCATCTTCTCTTGTCTCTTTCCTACCTAACCTATCAATAATAGGTAACTCGAGCATACTGTGTATGCCCTCTCTGTCATAATCACCAACATAGTATCTCTTTTCAGAAGAACCTAAACATGCCCACCAAAACCTCCCAACACGCCTTCGCCGGCTCGGAACGCTGGGTCGTCCCCCGCTACTCCTCCAAACCAGGCACCCTCATCCGACTCGGGTCTGTCCTCACCGACCCAGAAGACTTGGAATCCTCCCTCAACCTCGACAGCATCCCCCCCATCCCCCCCCACCTCCTCCGCGACGCCACCCCAGAGGTGCGAATGTCTGTCCAGACTGAGCTCAGCAAATCAGACTCCACCCTTGCCAAAGCCGCCCCCGCACTGGAGGGCATCCTCACCCTCGGCGGCGGGGTGGAAGCCTCCCGCTCCCAGGGGGTGAGCTCGTCTCTTAACATCTCGGGAACTGTCAAGGCGACTGTTTTTCGGGCGGATAAATCTTACATGGATGTGCTGCTTAAGGATAAAAATGTGATTTCTTATGCGAAGAGGGGGTTGGGAAAGCCGATGTTCGTTGTTGTTGGGGTGGCTACTGCTGGGAGGGTGGAGATGAAAGAGACGAGGCATGTGACGAGGAAGGCTGGGGTGAGTGGGAAGGTGGGGGTGGAGGTGATTGGGGAGGGGGAGGTAGGGTTGGAGAGGGAGAGGAGCGATAAGAGTTGTAATGAGGTGAGGGGGGAGGGCGGGTTGGATTTTGCTTATAGGGTGAGGGAGTTTGGTTACTCGAGGGTGAGGGGGACGGTGAAGGATAAGGGGGATTGGACGGGGAAGGTCCTCTTCGCTGGGGGAAAGGGGCCGGTGGTGGAGAAGGGGGGTGAGGTGGTGCCGGTGTTTAAGGAGTTTAAGGAGGGCGAGGTTAAACTGAGGGCGACGGGGAGTTTTGATGTTGCTGCCAAGGCGTGAGGAAGGTTATAATCGATGTGTGATGGTAGTGGTGACGGGTTGGATGACGGCTTAATTTCTTGTGCTTTGAGGAGTACGGTGTTTTGGATATGTAGCTGGAATACATGATGGTTCGAATTACAATCACTGGAGGATTCTGTCAACCAAGAGTCCAAGTTGATGTTCGGTAAATTCTTCACAAAGTAATCAGCGCCTTGGAATTCATCCCATCTACCTCCTTTTACATTCATTTGTTCATTACATAACAGCTACCATCCCGATTTCCATTGTGAAAATTAAAGCATATACTTGAAATCGGGGTTCAGATCCTATCCATGATTGTCAGTATACCGTCTCGTCGATCAACGGTGTTTACGAGAGCAACTCACCCCAAGCTCCGCCTTTTCCTGCTCCGTCATGCCCTCAGGGAGAGTCTGGTTCGCCTTCTTCCTGTTTTCAGCCATGATGGATACCGCGTAAATGATACACGACAGAGCGCTCAGGCAGATGAAGGACACGCAGATGATGTACCCCTTTCTGAAGTCGCCTCCAACAAACGAGTATGTAGCGATGATGCCGCCAATGTTGCCGAAACCTATCCCATGTTCAGTCTCTTGTTTCCAAATGCAATATCCCAGGAAAACTCACCAATCTGCCACGCACTCCCCACAGCCCTCCGGTGATGCCCACCCAAGTTCATATTAAACCAACAAACCTGAATCGGCATCGCCGAGTACATGCCCATGCAAATCAGCACCAAAGCCGCATACTGCACCGGCAAATTATCGTGCACATTCAGCAGAATCGCAAACCCGCTGATCGAGATACAGATCGGGAGAACCGTGAACAAGAACCTGTGCTTCAGCCAGTCTGACGCCGTGGCGATGACCATGGCGAAGACAAACGCCACTGCCCAGGGAGGCACAGAGTGAAGCTGGGTCTGGATCTTATCGTAGCCGTAACTCTGGACAATGGTGGGACTGAAGTACGCGTACGAGTAGGCGGGGACAATAATGCCAAAGTACATGAAGCCGCCGAGCCAGACCTTGTAGTCGGACATGACCTTGCCGACGTCCTTGAGGGTGATGCTGCGCTCGGCGGCGGAGTGGCCTTGGTCAGCGTGGAGACGGGCTTTGATGTAGTCTCTTTCGTCGTCGCGGAGCCATTTCTGTTGGTATTGTTAGCTTCCTTTTCCCATCATTTGGATATTTTTGTTCCGGTGGTTGAAGATTTTCAACCAAGACCCCCTTTTCGCCCCCCTGAACAACGGAAAAAAAGAGATCACATACCGCCTCCTCGACAAATCCCGGAAAAGTAAACAAAAAGATCGCCCCAATCACCACCGTGGGGGCCCCTCAATCAAGAAAATC